AGTTATTCTGTAATGCAGATACCTATATCTTCTTTAAAACTATTGAATATACTGATTGATGAATGGCTCGGGTGCCTTTTAGGAAGGTTTTTAAAGTGCCTATCTAGGACTTTATTGGAGAACCCCAAGCATGTGGAAGCAATCTATAGCGAAACGATCCACTTTTTAAAATGGCTGTTTTTGTGCTTCAAGTCCATGCTCCACCCTTTGAGCAAGAACAATAGCAGTGCAATTACTGCCAAGGTGCTCTGGGTATTCTGATAATATCACTGCAGTATCACACACCTACTGTACAGTCATTTCCTTTACGTTGGGGGGCTTGACTAAAGGGCGATAAATGGATAAAAAAAGATGAGAAAGAATAGTTGGATTTCTTGTTAAAAGCTGAAGAAGCAAAGAGGAGGCGGCGTGAGATGAGGAGATGCAAGTTTAGTCAAAGACAGTGGGCAATCATTAGATCTGGGGTAAACAGTGATGTTTTCTTATAAAATCTCATTCAGTGTTGTTATTTTAATTCAGTTTTATATTTATTTTGCTCTGGGTTGTCAGGTTTTTATATGGTGACATGTATTTATTATTAAAGAGCTATACAATTTTTGAGTATTGATGCAATTTACACTACTTACTGCTATTTTAACTAAACATTTACTTACAGTTTCTTCACATTTACATTATATTCACCATCTGGATTGTTTAATCCTTCACCGAGCTATAAAATGTGAAAACCATTAGTGTTAGTTGTTTTTCCCAGAGTGCCTTTTTGTTTTTTTGAGTGAAAACATGTTCAGTATGGGGGTCCCTAGTGGAAATAAATCCCCTGAAGCCAATTTTTTCCACTACTAGCATTGACTCAAATCTGATCCTTTTTACCTCCATGACTCTGACTCAGTGCTCTCTGAACAGGGAAAATCTGATTTCCTGTGTTTTTTCTAATTTTAGATAGCTATGCAAAGCTTACAGGCTGAATAAATAGAATATCATAGAATCCCGGCATTTAATAGTTTCAATTATAAATATTATAAAGCCCAAGCAGGGCAAAAGGAGGGTTAAAGCACTCTTTAAAGCAACATTTACTGTATTACATGGGGGCTTGATTTTGGTTTGAGCACAGTATGCCTTCATATTAATTAAGTCAGATGCATGAGCTGCATATCATTCCATTGGCTGGGTTAAATTATGCCCTTGCGCTCATTAGGAGTTGCCTACTATTTAATAATTCATAGAAATTAATTAAATGTGCCAGCAGGTTAATAAAACATACAGTATGTTTTATAATTAGTTATATGATTTGACCTATTCAGCAATGTTAAAATTTATTTAACCAAATGTCTGTTATTTTAATTATTATTATTATTATTATTTGAATAATCATTATTTGGATTTATGTCACAAAGTGAATATGTGTGTGTAAAAATGTAGAAATAATGTATTTAAGTAAGGCTTTTGATAAAATCTATACACATTTACAAGTCAAAAGTGGAGAGCAAAAGTAAAGGAAGAATTATTAGAGCATTTGGTTGCTCGTTCTATTTTAATTATTTAGTGCATTTGTTTTGTT